TGGTGCAAGCAGCTTGATCCCAGCGACTGCTCACCAAGAGGGTCCTAGGGCTTCGTCAGGGGAAAGTGCCACTGAGCACCCACAAGTAACCATGTGAAGCATCTCTTAGGCAGCCAGCCCTTCCCAACTTTCTAGGAGTAAGGGGTGCTGTAGAGAGAACAAGATGGCCCCCAACTGACCAAGGTGCTCCTATTGCATGCAGGAGCCTATCAACTTACTCAGTGAGCATTAGGAAGGAGGAGGTAGTTCCCAGCACAGCAACACAGGACCACAGACAGGAAGGTGGCAGACTCTCCTCCCAAGGCTGCTTATTCTACCCTAAGAGCAGCTGTAAAGTCCCTGATGTGAAAGTAGAGGGCCTGTCCCAGCTCTGGGTTTGCTCACCACCACCTGGCAGTCCTGGCCATTCTCTCCTCCTCCATACTCTACCCCAATCCCAAGCGGGGTTCAGAGTGGGGATGGGGGAGGGAGGGCGGAGTTCCTGTAACATCACTAGTTCCTGTAATACAATTGCCCCAGGAAGCTGGCCCCCTCTCCCCATCCGGAAGCATGATGAATCCAGACTTTTTCTCTACGTGGTTCCAAGTAGATTTGAAAGTGACCTGCAGGCCGCCACGGGCTTCGCGCTCAACTGGTACTGGAAGGCCATGTGGGCCTGCGTGACCCCGCTGCTCATCGTCGGCCTCTTTCTCTTTTACCTGAGTGACTACATCCTCACAGGGACCCTCCAGTACCAAGCTTGGGATGCCACGCAGGTACCTGAACTCCCCCCGCTGAGCCTCCCGGGAGGGGGCGGGGAGTGTTAAGAGTGATTTCCCAGCATGCCTGCTGGCAACCACAGGCTGTGGGAGGGATGGGAGAGGAGAGAGCTGCAGTGATGGAAGGCCAGCTCCATAGATTCCCCCTCGTGGGAGGTGAGGCCTGGGCAGCCATGACAGGGGCACAGGTGGGAAGGTTCCTTCTGCTTGATCTCTCCTTTTAGGGGCAGCTGGTGAGCAAGGATTATCCCCCGCACGCACTGGCTATCATCGGGCTGCTGGTGGCCTCCTCCACTATGTGTATCCCGCTGGGGGCCCTAGGGACTTTGGTCATGCACCGATTCAAGAGGGGAGACCAGAGTCAGGGATCACTCACCTTCACACAGCTACTGCCCAGAAGTGGGTGATCCGTGGCTGTTTTTCTTCAGAAGGAACTCAGAAGCCTGCCAGCTTCCTGTGTCTGTAAAGAAACATGAGTTAACCTATTTTTGAAGCTGGTAAAAAGTTACCTCGGGTCAACGTGATGCTTCGGTCTGTCCCTCCTCTGGCCTCATAATTTACATTCGTGTTGCCACAATTCACAATGATATTCACCATCCGCAATTACAGTGTGTCTTCCTCTCGTGTCGGTAATACAATGTGTTGTACATATCCACTATGACATAAGTTCTCTCTGGTTCTTGCAAACTTCCCAAAGAGTTGGATCTTTCTAACTACTCTCCTTGGGCCAACAATAAAACTGGTCTCAAAAAAGAAATCTGCTCCATAGGAAATGTACTTATTACCTAACTCATGTAACGGTAATCCCTCTGTACAGTATCTTTTCAAGAAAAAAAAGGAAGAAATCTGTGCTGCTTGCTAGTGCTACACACAAGCAGTCACGCTAGCCTCTGTCTGCTCACCCTCCTTAGGCCAGAGAGAGAAGGGACACTGCATCCTTGTACACGTCACAGTAACCAGGGCAACCATGGACTGGAAACTTTCTATTTATACTGCAAACATAACCACTGGTTGATTTTGCTTAAAGATACCAGGTAGGAAAATGTGGTTGGTATTAGTTACCAATGTAAATAAAACCCTAATTGAGTATCCCTAGAGTTGGGATTTTTCTGTATTTCCTGGCTCCATCTGGTCCTTTGGATAAAACAAAATTTGGGGGGGGAAAAATCAATCCTTAGATTCATCTACAAAGGAAGAGTTAGGAACAAACCACCTAACCTACTCATCCACACTTGGCTGGTATATTCACTTTACATCATGGTACCTTAAATGGTCTTCCAGTGAAACTACCATGGAGTCAGCTCTCTGGCAAAGAGAACTAGAAAAGAGGAAGAGAAGGATGAAATTTGGACCATAAGGAAAACTTCAAACCTACAGATCTAGCTGGGCCTCTAAGGTCTAGGTGAGCCTCTGTAGTGTGAATTGTATTTGTGTGTACACAGGCATGGCAGATTCTTATTTTTTTGTTGCTGGTGGTAGTCATGGAGCTTGAACTCAGGACCTGGATGCTGTCCCTGAGCTCTCACTCAAGGCTCACCCTCCACCATTTGAGCCACAGCTCCACTTCCAGTTTTCTGGTGGTTAACTGGATATAAGAGGCTCACGGAAAAAAAAAAAAAAAAAAAGAGGCTCACGGACTTTCCTGCTTGTGCTGGCTTTGAACCACGATCCTCAACTCTTGGCCTCCTGAGTAGCTAGGATGACAGGTGTGAGCCACCAGTGCCCAGATGACAGGTTATTATCATTCAAGTTATGCTGGGTTAAGAAAAATCTAAGAAGTTTGATATTCCCAAATGTGGTGCACACATGGAACTAGGAGAAATATAAACTATCTAACAATTTAGAATCTAATTTCGTATCCTCTTGTACATTTCGGGCCCATTATTCTGCTGGGCATATACTCCATGGCGACACACTTTCCTACTGAGCCAGAGGGCAGATACTGTGTTTACAGCAGTATTAAATGTGAGCCCAATCCGCAGAAACAACCAAAATATCCATAACAGTGCACTAGGTAAACAATTGTGGCACAGTCATGAATAAATCCCAGTGAACCCACATACTGTAAAATCCATCCCATGTAAACAGCAGCTATAACCATCAACATGATGAGTCTTAGAAATAAAATACTAAGTATATGCTGGGTGCTGATGGCTCACACATTTAATCCTACCTACTCTGGAGGCTGAGGTCTGAGGATCATGGTTTAAAGCCAGCGTGGGCAGGGAAGTCTATGAGATTCTTGCCTTCCATTAACCAGCAAAATCTGGACGTGGAGCTCAAGCAGTAGAGTACTAGCACTGAGCACAAAAGCTTTGGGACTGTGCCCAGGCCTGTGGTTCAAATGCCAGGACAGGCATAATAAACAAAATCTGGGGCTGGGAATATGACTTAGTGGTAGAGTGCTTGCCTAGCATGCATGAAATCCTGGGATCGATTCCTCATTACCACATACACAGAAAAGGCTGGACATGGCACTGTGGCTCAAATGGTCAAGTGCTAGCCTTGAGCAAAAAGAAGCTCAAGGGCAGTGCCCAGGCCCTGAGTTCAAGGCCCAGGACTGACAAAAACAACAACAACAAAAAAGCTTAAGCTGTAGAATATATATATATGTATGTATATATCCTACAGCTTAAGCTGTATACATATTATATATATAATAAAAACTGTATATATATATATATATATATATATATATATATAATTTTGTTTTGTTTTATAAACTTCAAAGGTAAGTAAAACTACTTCAAAGTTAAGTGAAACTATTTCAAAACCAAGTAAAACCAAACACATTTATCTGGAGATATGCATAAAACTAGGAGGAAATTTAAGAAAAGTCAAAAGGAAAAAGAAAGCCAAGTTGAGTGCCAATCTCTGAGAAAATACCGGGCAGTGCCCTCCCAGCTGTCTTTCCTCTTGGAGCTAATCTGCGACACAGCATTACGTAACCAGCCTAAGTCCCACCTCCACCCCTAGCTCTGTATCTCTCCTTGGTATTTTCTCCTTACTGACCTTGGTGGGTTGACTTTCTGAGATGACCTCCAAACATCTCCACCTTCTGCTCTTCCTGACTTCTCGGGATCTCTTCCCCTGATCCAGAAACCGCTTCTAGTGCACAGAATATGGTCAAAGTGGTGGGAGGGTACCTCCAAGGTTTTTAAGTTATGACTGTGCCTTGCATGTGGCTTTTGCTGGTATTGATGATTCAGGCTGCTGTGTTGGACCTGGCAAGAAATTGAGAGTAGCTTCTAGCTAAGTGTAATAAGGAATTGGGGGTCCAACTCTTACCAACAACCAGAGTGATCTTCAAAGCAGATCTGACACCAGATGAATATGGAGACCAACCCTGAAGCGGGGACAGACCTAAGCCATAAATCGTGACAATAGACTCCTGATGGACCGGAACTGTGACATAGTAAATACAAACAAATCTGGCCTGTTCCAAACCACTAGGTTTCAGGATACTTTGTTATTGTGACAGGTAACTTAAGACACGAAGGCTCTTCAGAGCTAGCATATCATTTCTTGCAACCCCTATGGTCCCCGAGTTAAAAGCACAATGAACTCATGGACATACTTCAAGAAAACAACCACTTTTGCAGGAATTATTTTACCTCAATTTTTTTTTAATTAAGGAAATGAGCATGCTTAAGCTGGGAAATTCATCTGAAGATATAATCTTTAAAACATGCTTATATGTGTATATATGCACACACATACACACATACAGGCTTATCATTATAAAGATATAATGCCGGGTGCTGGTGGCTCACGCCTGTCATCCCAGCTGTCATCCTGAGTAGGAGGCTGAGATCTGAGGATCGCAGTTCAAAGCCAGCCCAGGCAGGAAAAGCTGTGAGACTCTTACTCCAAGGAACCACTCAGAAAACCGTAAGTGGCGCAGTGGCTCAAGTGATAGAGCACTCACCTTGAGCTGAAGAGCTGAGGGACAGCGCCTAGGACCAGAGTTTAAGCCCTATGATTGACAAAAAAAAGACTTATAATTTCGAGGTGGGGGTCCCTTCATATGGACATTATACTCAAGTACTTCCCTAGTTTTAGCTATAAGTAAAAAGTAGCAATAAGGACAGACAACACTGAAGTGATCCTAACTAGAAAGCAAGATTTCAGAAGCTACTGATTTTCTTATTTAAATTGTCTAATTTTTCTACGATGACCATACATTGCTTTAAAATGGGGGAGAAAAATCACCTTTCAAAATAAAAGTACAGGGACGACATGTTAGAAAAGAATACAACATTTTATTTTCATTTATGGACATACAGTACATGAATGGAGAAGGAAAATCACCGCAGGATCCTGAAATATCGATAGCTTAAGACCTAACACACCAAGATTACTAGTACATTCCCTGCAAAGCAGCCACGCCAGCAATTCAGATTTGGTCTTTGTTGGAGTTAATGTGAAGTTCTTACTATCAAAATGTCCAATAGCATTTGCATGATACATTACAGTAGATATAAGCTATGTTTCAATATTCCATCTTTGGAACAAATTAGGCTTATTTACATGTTACAAATAGGTGGCTCTATTGACTTACCCTATTGTGAATTTTCATGACTGATTTTAAGCTACACGAGGGTTTCCCCAGCTATTACTTTGTTTAGGATTTCTTAAAAGCAGCCACTCCTATGAATGTTTATAAAAGATAAGGTTGAAGAAAGGTAACATTATAATAAAGGCGCTTTAGAAATATTGAAGAACAACATAGGTTATTGCCAGTGGGGGGGGGGGGAAGCTGTACATACTTTGCAGCAAAACACTAAGATACTGTAGCAGTGTTTAACTGAATTGTCTTGAAACAGTGGTAATTATACTAACTTACTGTTCTATCATCTAAACCTCATAATTTTAATTTGAATATACAGTCTGACAATGACAACGATGCAGGTTTGTTTTTGCACGTACATTCAAGTTGAAGTTGGTCCTTGATCTGGAGAATGTTAACTACCTAGAAGAGCCAAGGATCAGACGCACTCACTGACAGCCAACCAAAAGCCTGACAGAGTAAGAAAGAAACAGTACCATGCATGGAAAAGTGGCAGCCGCCCCAAGTACGATACCAAATTTAGCACGAGACCCTACTGGAGGCCCCACAGGGCTTGACGAGTAAACCACAGAGAAACTCAAGTGTTTAGAAGCAGGCGACCTGCCAACCAAGGGCAGTTTCCATAATGGGGTGGTCCTTCTAAAGAGGTGGCTTTGGACCTTTGGCATAAGAGATAAAAGATTTTACATTCTTTGATTTTTGTCTACAGCTTTTATAAAAGATAAAGTATATGTGAACTCTTCCGTCTCACTTTGACTGTTAGAGCTCTGCGGCGGCTCGAGCTGACCTAGGTCATGGAAATCACAAAAAAATCCAGGTCCTGCTTTGCCTCATTCCTCCCATGAAGTCGCAGACCTTCTCTTCAAATCTACTTGATGCCTGTAAGAAACTTACGTTTTATCAATACAGTAGGATTAGCTTATTACTAAGTTTTTTAAGGGAAATCTGAAGCTGGAGGGAGGGCTGTGTGTGTGACTGCATCTATGATGACAATAATGAAACAGAGCTAGAAAAATAATTTTCCGGTTTTAAATAATGAAAGAGGCTAAATATTTTTTTAAAATATATTACTTATCTGTTAACAGCTGATTAGCTTGACAATGAATACAGTCCCTCCATTCCATGAGCTGAATGCAGATTGTATTTCAATTCTAGTAGAGCTTCAAATTATAAATATAACCCTCTCAATAGTAAAGAGATTATGAAGGCAGAAACATCAGATCAATTCCAAGTCATCACCCAGCAAGGAGCACATGAGGTGCTTTGGGGAGAGCAAAAGAAAAAAGGCTTTCGAATGACCTTGGGCTCATGTGGAAAGCGAGTCAGTAAAGACTCCAGTTCTGCATCATGGAATCTTCTAATCCAAGCCGCTTTCCACAAATACAAATTCAATCTATCTTTTCTTTCTGGACCAATCTGGGAGCATCCACAAAATCTTTGCCATTATAGAGAATAATGAAAAATGTTCCAATGCTCGCTACTCCCCAGAAGAGCACATAGGCCAGTGTTTCTGTCCAAGTGTCACCTGTTGATATTAAAAACAAAGAGTGCATAAATAAAAGGAATCTATCAAAACTAGATACGCTTCTTAGCTGTGTACCACATCTGTACAATATGGACATTTGTTAGCATTATCTACAGGTGGAAAAAAACAGCAAATTCTTTCTTTTTTTTTTTTTGCCAGTCCTGGGGCTTGAACTCTGGCCCTAGGTGCTGTCCCTAGGCTCCTTTTGCTCAAGGCTAGCTCTCCATCACTTCAAGCCACAGCGCCTGTGCCTCTTCCAGTGTTTTCTGTGATTAATTGGAGATAAAAGTCTCACAGGGACTTTTCTGCCCCGGCTGGCTTCGAACCAAAATCCTCAGATCACAGCCTCCTGCGTAGCTAGGATTATATCACTAGCGCCTGACACAAATGCTCAATTAAGCTTTAAACCAACAGTTCTCAGACTGTGATTAGTACCAGAACTTCCTGCACATAGGCAGGTGATCAATTCTAAGACTGCAGAGTCTGAGGGCAGCCTAGACAAAGGGAGACCCAGTTTCAAAGCAGAAATAAAAACAAAAACAAAAAAAATTCTGGGGACATGGTTTAAGTGGTGGAGTCTTGCCTAGTGTACATAAGGCTTTGGGTTCAATCTTCACTATAACATGTACCCCCCCAAAATTATATATATATATAAATAAATCAGTTTTTGGTGCTAGGTGCTAGTGCTCACACCTGTCATCCTGGCTACTCAGGAGGATGAGATCTGAGGATTGAAGTCCAAAACCAGCCCAGGGCAGGAAAGCCCATGAAACTCTTATCTCCAATGAACCACCAAAAGGGTGGAAGTAGAGCTGTGACTCAAGTGGTAGAGTGATAGATTTGAGCAAAAATAACTCAGGGAACCATGTCCAGGCCCTGAGCTCAAGCCCAATACCAGCATGCGCACACACACAAAAGAAAATGAAAAAACAAACAAAAAACAAATCCTGGATCTGAAGGTATGCGGTAGTGTTAAAGTGCATACACAAAGTCCTGGGATCAATTCCTAGCACCAAAAACATGAATACAACAAACCCAATTATGAAACCACTCCATCTATATTTCTTTCTTAAAATATCAAAAGAAAACTAATCTCATCTGCTCTACTCTCATCAAACTTAGTAAGTGAACATCAAGTGTTGAGTGGACTCAAAAAATCCAAGATATATAAGAACGCTCAACATTCTAAGAAATACATGTTAAGAATCTGAAATAGGAGCAGACTTACCAGCCATAAGCAGACAGATAATGCACATCGAAAAGGCAACAACCATGATAATAGGCAACTGCAAGAGATAATGAAGAGACATGCCACAGGTTGAGAATGGGAAGTCAGAAGCTACAAAATCAATCCTGCATATTGTTTTGTTTTCCCGCATAACTTTGCTTATTAAAAAAAAAAATGAATGAAATCCAAGCACCGGTGGCTCACACCTGTAATCCTAGCTACTCGGGAGGCTGAGATCTGAGGATCACAGTTCAAAGCCAGCCTGAGCAGAAAACTCGGTAAGATTCTTCTGTCCAATAAACTACTCAAAAAAGCCGAAGTGGCACTGTGGCTCAAGTGGTAGAGTGCTCACCTGGAACAAAAGAAGCTTGGGGACAGCGCTCAGGCCCAGTCCAGGCCCAGAGTTCAAGCCCCAGAACCGACAACAAAAAAAAAAGAAAGAGAATAAAACTCCTTGGGCAAGCTAATACACACAAAATTGTTCTAACAAACAAGTTTACTTAGAGGTCCAATCATGACTAGCTACATTAGGCGATCTGAGGAAACATGCCTCAACTACAAATCAAGGGTGTACAGAGGTCAAAGCAGGTGCCCAAAGGAGAATCGAGGACAGCAGGCATCTTTTCCATTTCAGGGCACTTCTGCCCACTGGCATGACGCCCTAGAGGCTGTTGCAAAGTCTGACAAACAGTGTCTCAAATAAGGGGAGGCTTGTCACCAGTGGTTCACTCCTACAGTCTTAGCTACTCAGGAAGCTGAGCTCTGAGGATCACTAGTACAAGGCCAGCCCGGGCAAGAAAATCTGTGACATTTTTATCTCCAATTAACCATACCAAAAAGCCTGAAGTGGAGTTGTAGCTCAAATGGTAGGGTGCTAGCCCTGAGTGAAAAAGTTCACAGACAGGACCGTGCATTCAAACCCTAGACTCATCACAAAAAAAAAAAAAAAAATTTAAGAAGCGTCCTCAAAAGACACTTTGCCTTCTGTTGCAAACTTGTCTCCAGTAAATCCTTCATCACAAGAGTATGGGAGCATTCCGGAAATACGGGATTCTCCACACTCTCTGCTCATGTTCTCATACAAAAAGAATATGCAAGAGTGTCATGTCATCAGGCAAGAAAACAAATGCTAAGTGTTATTTTACTCTGTGTCCTGATCTTCTCACTGGGGAGAGCTAAGTATTTACGCTGCACTTAAGAGAGGTCAGGGGAGTTGTCAGTGTCTATATCTTCAGGAACAATGTTGTTATACTTGAAAAACATAAAGAATTCTTACAGCCAGGAATTTCCAGTCCCTTGGAACACTTAAAGGACTATGAGATTCTAATTCATCCACTGAATAGTTCCCAAGAAATAAGTCTATAGAGTCCTAGAACAGAAAAAAGGAAATTAATAACTCCCCCAAACTTGATGCAATTATTGAGGAATGATACAATCATTTAACAAACAACAACAAAAAGAGCACCAAACACAAACTTACTTGTCTAAATCCATCAGAAAAATTGTTCTTGTAATATCGTATTAGTGAGTTCCAGCCATCCATTATAAGTCCCAGCTGAGTTCTCTTTCCAGTTCTGGTTAAAAGAGATTCAGTTTTACATTATAGACTTGCATGCTACATTTCCACACTGTTAAGGCCAACAAAATGTACGTAAATAAATGAGAGTGATGTTCCCAAAGTCATTCGGCAGGTCTAAGAAATATGTGGTCATCCCTCCGTATCCATGGCAGTCTCTGCAGAGGCTCCCTCCCTTAGACATAATGACGCAGTAGTTCCATATACCCCGTTCATATCCTTTGTATACTTCACATCATCCCTAGACTATTTGTAATAACTAACACAACTGCAAAAAATGTTAGGTAAATAGTCATTATCCTGTATCGTTTAGGAAATGATGGCAATAAAAAAGTATGCCTAGCCAGCAGCTGCTGACACCTGTCATCCTAGCTTCTTGGGAGGCTGAGATCTGAGGATTGTGATTCAAAACTCTCTCAAGCTATGCACCAAACCTGAAGAATCAGGTTGGTGATTCAGGTACACAGTAAGGCTTCAGAAACACTACAGAGGGGCTGGGAATGTGGCTTAGTGGCAGAATGCTTGCCTAGCATGCATGAGGGCATGGGTTGGATTCCTTGGTACCACATAAAAACAAACAAACAAAAAAAAATGAATGAGTGTATGGGAATGTGGCTCAGTGGTAGAGCGCTTGCCTTGCACGCATGAGGCCCTGGGTTCGATTCCTCAATACCACATAAGCAGAAAAAGCCAGGAGTGAGGCTGTGACTCAAGTAGTAGAGTGCCAGCCTTGAGCTGAAGAGCGCAGGGACAGCGCCCAGGCCCAGAGTTCAAGCCCCATGACTGACAAGAAAAAAAAGAATATAATTAATTTTTTTTTAAAAAAGGAAAGAATCACTGCTGATCCCTCAAACTTGCTGCATCAGAACACCCTAAGAAGGCTACGAACCCCTGAGTATCCTCTCCCGGCAATCCTGACAGACTAGGCCCCTGGTGAGGCTGTGCCACTGTTTCCTGCAGGTTGCTTATAGCACTATAAAAAGTACAGGGCCTGGGTTCCATCCCCGATACCCAAACAGACAAGACAAACAACAACAACAAAAGCAGAGGGATTCTAAGCCACGGATGTGCTTGCCTGGTAAAGTCAGTCTTCAAGGCACCAGTTCCTGCATATTGTTTGGCACAGGCATTTGCATTGTCAGCCCAAGCTGTAAACAAAAAAAAAATTGAAAAAATGGTTGATGATGACTACAATGACCACATTCAAACTAGCAATTTACTTCAAATTTTGAGCAACTCTGCCTCTATTAAACAAAGTACCTACCGTTTTTGTAAATCTTCTCAAATTCATCTTGTTCTTCAATCTTTTGTCCCACATGTAAAACTCCTAGTCTCTGGAATAAGAACCACATCCGAATTTATGTGTAACAGATGTTGGCAGATACAGTTCAGGAAGAGAAGCAGGCAGTTCCCAAATCCTATTATATGCTTCCTTGGCTACTGACTAGTACTATGAACAGATATATTATCTACAGTGCTATTTAAAAGCCCAAAAATGACATCTTAAATGGCATAACTATCATTCATTAAAAGTGATGACTGGGGCTGGGAAGGTGGCTCAGTGGTAGAGTGCTTGCCTTGCATGCATGAAGCCCTGGGTTCAATTCCTGAGCACCACATAAGCAGAAAAAGCCGGAAGTGGTGCTGTAGCTCAAGTGGTTGAGCGCTAGCCTTGAGCTGAAGAGCTGAAGGACAGCACTCAGGCCCAGAGTTCAGGCCCATGACTGACCAAAAAAATAAAAAAATAAAAGTGATGATTACACAGAACCATTAAAAAACTATGATTACATAAATGCTAAAGAAAAATAGCTAATAGAAAAATAGCATAAGTGTACTGACTGTGGTTATGGAAAATGATTAAGACAGACTCAGATTAAGGTGGAGCAACATTAATATTTTTGGTCAAGGTAAAAGGTCCTTTCATTTTTTTGCAACATCCTTTCTCAATTTAAAAAAAAAAAGAAGGGGCTGGGAAGGTGGCTCAGTGGTAGAGCGCTTGCCTTGCATGCCTGAGGCCCTGGATTCAACTCCTCAGCACCACATAAGCAAAAAAGAAAAAAGCTGCAAGTGGCGCTGTGGCTCATGTGGTAGAGCACTAGCCTTGAGCTGAAGAGCTGAGGGACAGCGCCCAGGCCCAGAGTTCAAGCCCCATGACCGGACCCAAAAAAAAAAAAAAAGAAATCATAGCTGGGCACCAGTGGCTCATGGTTCAAAGCCAGCCCAGGCAAGAAAGTCCATGAGACTCTTCTCCAATGAACCATCAAACTGGAAGTGGAACTGTGGAGCTCAAAGTGGAGAACACTAGCTTTAAGCAAAAGAGCTTAGGGTCATTGCTCAGTCCCAGAGTTCAAGCCCCACAAAGACAAGAAGAAGAAGAAGGAGAAGAAGAAGAGGAAGGGGAAGAAGAAGAAGAAGAAGAGGAAGAGGAGGAGGAGGAGGAGGAGGAAGAGGAAGAGGAGGAAGAGGAGGAGGAGGAGGAGGAGAGGAAGAAGAGGAGGAGGAGGAGGAGGACGATGACAATGACAATGACAGAGAAAGAAGAAAGAATAAAGGAGGAGGAAGAATTCATAGTGTGGCACCGGTGGCTCACGCCTGTAATCCTAGCTACTCAGGAGGCTGAGATCTAAGCAGTGCAGTTCAAACCAACCCTGGGCAGGGAAGACCTGTGAGACTCATTTCTAAATACCCAAAAAGCTCCAAGTGGAACTGTGGCTTAAGTGGTAGAGCACTAGCAAAAAAAGAGAAGGGGCAGCTCCAGGCCCTGAGTTCCAGCCCCAGAAAAGGCAGCAAAAAATAATAATAATTCATACCTGAAGCTGGGCCTGAAGTGAACGTCGAGCTAACAAACTCTGGATCACATTCGTTCTATCTAAACAATCCATGCAATTGCTGCGGAAAACACCTTCCTGGTTTGTCACCACTTTGCCAGTAGAGTCTACTAGAAAATAACTAAAACATATTTGTATAAACACTCTCATACCAAAGTAGGCCACACCTACAAGTGACTCACTTCTTGACATATAGGCCCCATTTCAATGATGCTGTCATCCTAGTTGCTCAGGAGGCTGAGATCTAAGAATTGTCATTCAAAGCCAGCCAGGGAGACTCTTGTTTCCAATTAACCACCAAAACACTGGAAGAGGCGCTGTTGCTCAAAGTGGTAGAGTATTAGCCTTGAGCAAAAGAGCTCAGGGACAGCGGCCAGGCCCTGAGTTCAAGCCTCATGACTGATAAAAAAAAAAGTTACAAATTAAAAGGCCAAACGGGAATGCATGGCCAAACATATTTCAATAGGAGTCAGAGTGTGAGTGGCTGGTGTAAAATGGCTACAAATCTAAATGGCTATATCATGAAGAGGTCATCACATCTCACAGAGGTGAAAAGTAGAGTTGGGAATATTGTAAAGGTTGCTATGGGCATCAGTCTTGTTTCCCAGGGCCAGAGTGGTTTCCTTAACATAACTATCCCAACTATATCCTTATGTTTTATGAACCCAGTGTAACCCATATCAGAACCCCTGCTTGCTTGGTAAAAATGAACATTCTTGGCTTTGAGATTAACCGAATCAGAATCTCTGAAGCAAGTTTCAGGTGTTCTGCATTAAAAACATTTTTTCTTCTTTTCAGATGAGTAACATATCAATGAGACAAAGTGTAAAAAGAACAGCATTATTTGAAAAATTATTTTCCCGGGGCTGGGAAGGTGGCTCAGTGGTAGAGTGCATGTCTTGCATGCATGAGGTCCTGAGCTCAATTCCTCAGCACCACGTAAGCAGAAAAAGCTGGAAGTGGCACTGTGGCTCAAGTGGTAGGTAGCTAGCACTGAGCTGAAGAGCTGAGGGACAGTGCCCAAGCCCAAAGTTCAGGCACCACAACTGACCAAAAAAAAAAAAAAAAAGGAAAAATCATTTTCCCTTTCTCCTCTCACTCAGATATCTGAACTGAAGCTAATGATGGTTACAGTTTTTGTGTGCTCTCTCTTTCTAACAAGCTCTTCACATAGTTCTGTTAATCAAAAATCTGACAAAATACTGACAGCAAACAGAATGTTTTCTTGTTAGGCTTTATACCTTAGGTAGCTTCCTAGCTGTGTAATATTGGTGTTTTGTTTTGTTTTTCACCCACAAAATGGAGGTGACATCAGCACCATTAGGCTGCTCTAAGGTTTGAATGAGATAAAGCATGATGCATACACCCACCAAAAAAGCACTTAGCACACAGTGTAAGAGGATACTAGATATAGAGGGCATGGATATTTGGTAAAAATCAAGACTGAAATTCTTTCCCAAATTACTAAAGGATGGAAGATGGACAATAGGTTCATTAAGGGCTAGGCAGAAATCATGATCTTAGAAGAGGGGTCTAACTCCATGATTGCTCATGCAGAATGAGTGACGTTGGTTTCTAGCTGGTGTACATTCACGTGTACGCAAGTGTGTGACGGTATCCCACCAGTACTCAATGTGCAGTAGATGATATTTTGATCCTGCCGCTTCAGCTTTCTGGAAGCTAAGATTTCAGGCACGTGCCTGACATTGTAGAAGGACTCTTCTTTCCAATAAAAATTTAAGCAACAAAACAGTTTACACAAGCACTAACAATCCAGTGTGAACTAGCATTGTAATTTTCTAGACAACACATAATAAATACGACTGAGCTATGCACACACACCCTCCTTTTACAAGAAAATAATGGGGCTTACCTTAATTCATCCTGCATTTCTGCTACCTGATCCAATAAAACACTCAGTCGGTCCCATCTCATATTTTTACATTCCTTATGGAAGTCAAAGGCAATGTACCTACCAAAAAAAAAAAGATGAGGAACTTGACAAGAAAGCATGCATTTTTCTTTTACAAATAAGATCTCTTTATGAGAACATAGATATTTCTTACAAACACTAGGGCCTACTTTATTCTGGACTTACTACTAATACACATAGATACACAACACTCTCATGCTCATAGCTATGGATATATATATAAAATACACATATATACATATACACTGTACACATACTAACAGACACATATAAACACACCCACACTTGTTTCAGGGGTCCTTCTAGGGGCTTTCAGAAGTAGGGGAGCAATGTAGGCTAGAGTGCCGTAGTGAGGGGTGCACACTGAAGGGCACAGTCCAAATAAGGATGGAGTGTTTCTTTATTCTCTTCCATTATGTGCAAAAAAGTATTAATAGAGTTCCTTTTTGTTGTTTTCCAAATTAAATTAAGATGCTCAATTGTCAGACTCAATCTGGCACTCAGAAGATTAGGTTGAGTATCTTTCAGGCTCTAGGGGTTATGAGAAGTACAGAGGTGACATAGTCTCTATGGTGTCAGTGACTGGTCATCCTAGCAAAGAATCACCCTCCACTCTCACTACTGACACATTGTACATGTGGCTCTACTTGGTTTCATGAGTTTCTGTCTTTACTCTGCGATGCTAAAAAATCCGAATTCCTTCAGACAACTCTAGGGGCAAAGAATACCTAGGGGAACCCTCTGAGACAGAGGGCTTTCAGCAGGGGTTTATCGTGGAGACCAAAGACAAAACTTTTTTCCCTAGTACAAACATGCTGTACCCCAACTAGAGAAATTCAGGCTTTCAGGCCTGATGACATAGAGCTGTTGAACTGGATGAGAAAAACTTACATTTTTCTCTTAGGTTCATTGTATTATTCCACTTAGTGGACTTAATTGTTTACACAGGTTACAGCAATTTCTCTCCTAAGTAATGCAGTATCTTTGTTGTTGTTGTTTTGGAAGGGAGTTTTTCCCAAATGCTCATGGGTACTTCTTACTAAAGCATACCCCCTCCCCCACCTCCCATCTCAGTTTCCTGCCACAGTGGGCTGACTTACAACTTCCCACCTCATGTTTCAGGATCCCCAGCTTTTCACAAGAATGCATGGGCAGTTCAACGATTGCCTACTGAAGAACAGGACGGGGAAAGGTGCTATTCCAGACAGGTTCACTAGGTGAGACCTGCACAGCTGCAGCTCAGATGATAACAATAAAAGGCCCACCAAGAATTGGAAAGTCTTGACGGAATGGCTACTGCCTCAAAACGCTTCCCAAGGAAGTACCTGATCATTCCACTTCCCAAGGAAGACACCATTGTGGCAAAGGTCTGCTCAAGAGGCTTCTCTGAGCCCTTCTGGTTTACCTGTAAAAAAAATCAAAATAAAAAAACACCATAGCTTTCAGTTTATTTAGAGAGAGAGAATGTTATCAGGTAAATAGCAAGGAAGCTCTCAGCTCTCTTTCTGGCAGAGAAACATTAATTTTAAAAGGAAGTGGGGGAACAGTAGCTGTCTGAATCAGTTTTGCGAAAGCTCTGCAGAAACAAAAATTTTTTTGTTGTTGTGGTTTTTTTCCCCCCAGTCATGGGGCTTGAACTCAGAGTCTGGGCACTGTCCCTGAGCTCTTTCACTTAAGGCTAGCGCTCTACCACTTTAAGCCATAGCACCCTTCTGATTTTTGAGTGGTCAGTTGGAGATAAAGAGTCTCACAGGCACTTTTCTGCCTAGGCTGGCTTTGAACTGGGATTCTCAGATCTCAGACTCCTAAGTAGCTAGGATTACAGGCGTGAGCCAGCAGCACCCAGCAGAAACAATGGTTTATAGCAACTGACTAAATACCTGATCAAGAAGATTGGCAAACGAACTCTCTAAACTGTAGGAAAACTCTGTGGTGTTTTTATTTATCCTTCTTCCACTTCTCCCCAGGGTGAAAAACTTAAGTCTTCAAAGAGCAGTAACCTTGCTCTTAGTTCCCCTTTGCTGAGCCAGGGAAATCAGGCCAGACCTGCTTTGCAAATACACCTATTCTAATCTGGAAGACTTTATTGTCTTATCTCTGTCTTGCATAACTGTTGAGAACAGGTGGGAAAAATACTAAGACACTCCTTGTAAAAGTGGCGAGAGGACTATAAGAAAACCAAGGCCTAGAGCAAGAGATTTTGGATAGAAGCATACAACAGAGCACCTAAAGCTTGTAGAAGGAGGGAAGGGGGAACATTCAAAAGAAGCAATGTACATGAAAAGGGTTTTTAAAAGCTACCCACATATTTAGGCAAGAGGCATTTACACAAAAATCCTAAACGACTTTAAAATTTTCCCTTAGACAACTCTTTCCCTGTTGGAAAAGAATGGGAGACAGGGTTGTTCTCTTGATTTTTTTTTTTAATTTTGTTAAGACTTTTTAATTACTAGAATTCACTTGGCCACACATTAACTGAATGCAGCAAAAGGAAGAAAGACATCAAATGAGCATAAATGACAAGGAAAAATCTTTGCTGAAGTAGTTCAGAAGAGTCTTGCAGTCAGGCACCTATGGCTCACACCTGTAATCCTAACTACTCAAGAGGCTGAGATCTGAGGATTGCAGATTGAAGCCATCCCAGGAAGGAATTAACCACCAGAAAACAGGAAGAACCACTGTGGCTCTAAGTGGTGGAGTGCTAGCCTTGAGCAAAAAAAAGATTCTCAGGCTCTGAGTTTAAGCCCCATGACTGACAAAAAAAAAAAGGAAAAAAGAAAACTCTAGCAACAAGTAGATTATTACAATCTTTAACAATCAAAATGAAAATAGCAAACTCTGGGAAAGGAGAAAACTGACTTCCAGTTACCACACTGTAAATTGAACACATAATTTTTTTAAAAAGGACAAGCCAGGCGTGGGTGGCTCATGTCAATCCTAGCTACTCAGGAGGCTGAGATCTGAGGATCATGGTTCAAAGCCAGCCTGGGCAGTAAAGTCTGTGAGACTCTTATCTCCCATTAACCACCAGAAAAACAGAAGTGGCACTGTGGTTCGAGTGGTAGAGCACTCACCCTGAGCATAAAGAGGCTTGGGGATGGCACCCAGGTCCTGAGTTCAAGCCCCAAGACCAGCAAACAACAACAACAACAACAACAACAAACCCTCGAGGAGAGGAGAGGAGAGGGAAAGAGACAGGGAGAAAGAAAGAGAAAAAAATACAAGAGCCAGGCACCAGTGGTTCACACATGTAATCCTAATCCTAGCTAAACTCAGAAGACTGAAACCTGGAGGACTGAGGTTTGAGGCCTGCAGGGACAGTAATCTGCAAGATTCCCCCAATTAATCAACAAAGTGCCTAATGGAGGTATGGATCAAGTGGCAGAGCACCAGTTGTGAGCAAGAAAGTCCAGAAAGGCCCTCAATTCAAGCCCCAATACCAGAAAGAAAGGAAGGGAGGAGAGTAGGAGGGAAAAATACAAGCAACGCTGGGAAGGGATGGGAAGGGTAAACAAAGGAGGGGGCTGCAATGCTTGGTAAGAAATGTACGCATTATCCTGCCCATGCAATTGTAACCCCTCTGTACAGTATGTTCACAAATAAAATAAAATTAAATTAAAAAAAGAAAAATACAAGAAACTTACCAGATTGATTATGATTTGTTTTCCATAAATAATTACTTGTGAATCAAAATGCCTTTGGAAACCATCCATCTAGAGGGGAGGAAAGGTATATTATTTACAAAGTTAAATTATTGAAAAAACATTTTTTTTCAGTTGTGGGGCTTGAACCTGGGGCCTGGGTGCGCTATCCTTGAGCCTCTTTGAGCTCAGGACTAGCGCTCTACCGCTTAAGCCACAGCACTACTTCCAGTTTTTGAGTGGTTAATTCAAGGTAAGAGTCCCGGGCTGGGAAGGTGGCTCAGTGGTAGAGCGCTTGCCTTGCATGCTTGAGGCCCTGGGTTCAATTCCTCAGCACCACATAAGCAAAAAAGAAAAAAGCCGGAAGTGGCGCTGTGGCTCAAGTGGTAGAACGCTAGCCTTGAGCTGAAGAGCTAAGGGACAGTACCCAGGCCCAGAGTTCAGGCCCCATGACCGTCCGGACGCGCCCCCCCCCCCCGGAAAAAAAAAAAAAAGAGTCCCATGGGGACTTTTCTGCCCAGGCTGGGTTTGAACTGCAATCCTCAGATCTCAGCCTCCTGAGTAGCTAGGATTACAGGAGTGAGCCACCAGCACTTGGCTTTGAAATATTTTTTAAATAGTGGTTTTTAAACATTTAAAATGTTTCTCTTTAAATGTCCGATTTCTATGCTGAATGATGTCAGGATGGGGACTGTGTCTTCTGGATATGCTATATACCACTAATAAATACTAGTAAGCCATTTTACTCTGAGCTACAATACCACATTTTAATTCTGCATACAACCTCAATCGAATCTACTAAGTATTCTAGACAGCACAAGTTGCAAATCTGGCCCTGCCACTCCATCACTGTCTAGCCATCCATCTGCCATATCTAACATGTCATCTATTTAGAGTCTAAAAGATACCAAATTCTCATTAACAGGGAATAATATGTGCTCTATAGAACTAAAATGCTACCTCAATTCTATTTTTAGTCAAAGAGAAAGAAAATGCACTGAAGATACATACATGATTTGCTACTTTGTTGATCTGTGGCAATGGTTTGTACTTGAGATTGGGTCTTTGAGACCAGAAAACAGGTATTGATCCTCGGGTCTAAAAGAAAAGAAACATATAGTAAGAAACACACACACACACACACACACACACACACACACACACACACTTGTCCTTCTCAACTTATTGTCAACAATACAGGTACTAACACTTTCGTAAAGGAAAAAAATAGTACAACCTCCTAGCTATGACAGTGGTCAATATGAACGCACTTAAAGTTCAGATTTTGTAGGAATATGCTCATAAAACAAATTTTCCTCCTAACTTCATATGCATAGGGCATGTATAAATAATGCCCCTAAACTAAAAACAAGTTCCACAAGGGAAAGTTAACAACAAATTTAACTACATAACTTGGAGTTCTTAATGGAGGATGTTTATGAACATGTGCCTTATGTGTATGTAGCTACTGATACCTCAGAGAAGGTAGTGTGATCAACTCCATAGGGAGGCAACAAAGGAGAAGTATTACATCACACTGACATATAAAGAGGGGAAAATAGCACTGTAGCTCACAGTAGTAGAGCAATAGCCTTGAGTGCAAAAGCTCACAGACAGTGCCCAGGCCTTGAGTTCTAGCCCTACAACCAACAACAACAGCAGCAACAAAACGAAGTATAAAGAAGTATCAGTACCCCAGGTTAAGTGCACAGGGTTAAAGAGAGGAGTGTGGTGCTAGATTTCCATAACTTTCAAATCTCCTTCCCTAATACCTCTCCTTTAGGGGTTTCATTTACACACTGGTAATGTCTGCAGGGGCATGCCAGATTAATGAACACCCTTTTATTAAGTAAATTTTTTTCTACTTTGTAGACAAAGATAGGACCTAAGAAAGAAGAGGAATGGGAGGGAAGGAAGGAAAACCTCAACATGACCAGTAAGTACCATCAAGCAGAAAAGACACCTTACTACTACATAGAAACATGAACTTTACCTGTACAAATGAAGCCTTGCTACCATTGTAATGCACAATTTGCTCTGTTTCTACAAAGTTAGCTGCATGGCCTTCAGAATCAATTCCTAAGTTGAAAAAAAATTATGAGCTAATTATTTAGTATATAAGAAACATTTTCATTCATTCAGCTTAACTTAGAATTAATTCAGTTCAAAGTAATGGAAAAGTACTTATAAAAAAAATTCAAACTAATGTATATAGTACAAGACCAAAAGGCTGCCAGGCGCCAGTGGCTCACACCTGTAATCCTAGCTACTCAGGAGGCTGAGATCTGAGGATCTCGTTTCAAAGCCAGCCCAGGCAGGAAAGACTGTGAGACTCCTATCTCCAATAAACCACTAGAAAACCGGAAGTGGCGCTGTAGCTCAAGTGGTAGAGCGCTTGCCTTGTGCTGAAGAGCTGAGGGACAGCACCCAGGTCCACAGTTTAAGCCCCACAACAGACAAAAAAAAAAAAAAAAGACCAAATAGCTAATAGAAATTCTCTTATTTAAATAGGGCGAGGAACAATAAGACCATTAAAAAACAGACTAGTTGGTTGTCTTTTTTGGTAGTGGGGCTTGAACTCTGCGCCTGGGCACTGTCCCTCAGCTCTTCAGCTCAAGGCCAGCGCTCTACCACTTGAGCCACAGCGTTACTTCTGGTTTTCTGGTGGTTAACTGGAGATAAGAATCTCACAGACTTTCCTGCCCAAGCTAGCTTTGGACCACAATCCTTAGATCTCAGCCCGCTTGTCATTTTTTAATATATTCAGATTTCCTCTAAAAAGTACTCAAAGCCAAGCACTGGTGGCTCACGTCTGTAATTCTAGCCACTCAAGAGGCTGAGATTTGAGGACCAGGGTTCAAAGCCAGCCCAGGCAGGAAAGTCCGTGAGACTCTTATCTCCAATTACCCACTAGAAAACCAGAACTGGCATTGTGGCTCAAGTGGCATAGCGCTAGCCTTGAGCTGAAGAGCTCAGGGACAGCATCCAGGCCCAGAATTCAGGCCCCCCAACCGACAAAAAAAAAACAAACACAACTTTGTGATATGTGTTTAAGTTACTGAAAACTGTACTGAGTTCAGCTGTACTTTCAGGAATCCAGCAAACACCTTAACTCCTGGTAGAGTGCTTGCCTAGCATGCATGAAGCCCTGAATTCAATTTTTCAGTACCACATATACAGAAAAAGCCAAAAGTAGTTCTGTGGCTCAAGTGGTAGAGTGCTAGCTTTGAGCAAAAGAAGCTCAGGAACAGTGCCCAGGCCCTGAGTTCAAGCCCCAGGACTGACAAAAATAAAACATAAAAACAAATCAGTCTACAATGTTACATGAACATTTGCAAAGTAATTATAGTAGCTGGAGAAGGCTTATACTCACTAGCATATCAGGCTACCAAATAATAACACAAAGTACAAAAGGTTAGTTGTATAACCTATGACACCCCAAGACAAACATCAGTGACAGACATGACCCACTTTTGAAAAACTGACAAAAACCCATCTCACCTCTTACGTAATAGCGCACACCAGCTCTGAAACAACTCCTCCTGGAGATGAGAATCCAATCAAAGTATTTTCCATTAATAGAACATGAGTGCATAGTAATAACTTAAATATGTTAAGAAAAAGATAACATAGAAAAATACATACTATCTTTAGATTCGATTTGAATCTATTTACTCTAGCAAGAATGCTTTAGGAGAGTAAAGGATAAGAAACTATGCACATCTCCTCAGTACTATAAACACCTATAATGACTTATGACCACAGTGAAGCGCTTTACTATAGTTTCTACTTAAATGTTTTCCATCACTGATACCTTCATCCACTTCCTAAATGTACTAATCATGTCACCAAAAATCCTACTCTGAATGAAAAATGTAAGATAGATTAACCTTCAAGAGAATGAAAAGAGGAAGAGGAAGAGAGAGAAAAAAGAACATGCAGGCTACTACAGGGCTTCAGTGGCTCATGCCAGTAATCCTAGCTACTCAGGAGGCTGAGACCTAGAGGATCATTGGCTTGAAGCTAGCCCCGGCAGAAAAGGCCACAAGACACCATCTCCAATGAACCAGCAAAACGCTCGGTGGAGGGAATGGCTCGACTGGTAGAACATCATCTGCAAGCAAGAAATCCAACTGAGAACTCAAGGCCCTGAGTTTAAACCCCCAGGCCAGCTCTCGTTCTCTCTCCACACACACACACACACACACACACACACACACACACACACATGCACGCACGCACGCACACACACACACACACTTTGCATTTGCATTATGGCTTTTCCCTAAGCATTAAGATTGTGTTCTATTTTCATTTTTCCATCACTGTTTTCAAATGGCAAATATTATTTTAAATTTTACTTCTCTCTCAAGATACTGGTCACCATAATTCTGGAGCCCAAGATTTTATATTAGTAGTCAGGAAAGACTTCATGGGAAGTCATTTTCTTTAAATCACCAGTCTGAAAATGCTTGCATAGAGATGGTAATTCATTCTGGAGAGTTCATCTTTTTTTTAATGGTTGTTTTTAATTAGTATGGTAACATTTTACAACCCCAAGTTTAATTTTCTGAATAGTTATTTCTACCAACCCTGAAATGCTCTTCCCATGCCAGATCTGTTACTGTTTCCACATCTGCCTCATAAGATGTAAATAAAGCCTGCTAGAGTACCATTATATAAGGATACAGCCATGTAACACTGGAAGAGCAAAGCGATGGACCTGAAACAAAGAAACACAGTTTGAAGAATGAGCATACCTGAGAAATAAATCAGTAAATAAAACCAGAAGCATTGTGTAGGATTTGTTTACACTCAGGGAAGTAATAGATAAACATAACTAGGTAGTACATTCATATATAACTTTTTTTTTCTTGTAACTGCCCTAGGGCTTAAATTTGGGACTGGACACTGTATTGAGCTTTGAAGCATGATCCTCAGATCTCAGGCTCTTTGAATAGCTAGCATTAAAAGCATGACTAGTGCCCAGCTATATAACTTGTCATTTTAAAGAAAAGTCTATTGTTACATCATGTATGCAGTACAATTGTTGGGGCTTGGACTGTCACCCATTTTGGAACAATAGTAATATGAAGTTGCAGAAGGATTATGTCCTTTCTGAACTGTTCATAGTCTCTGCCTATAATAATTTTACTCTTCCTGGGGAAAAGACTGTCCATGCAAACAGTCTACAGCTCAAGCTATGCTTTACCCAAAAGCATAGCAACTGGCAAGAAACGATCACAGTTCAAAGCCAGCCAGGAGGAAAACCGTGAGACTCTTATCTCCCAGGAACTATTCAGAAAAAGCCAGAAGTGGCACTGTAGCTCAAATGGTAGACTGCTAGCCTTGAGTACAAAGAGGCTCAAAGAGAGTGCTCAGGCCCTGAGTTCAAGCCCCGGAACTAGCAAAAAAAAAAAAAAAAAGGGGGAAACAAAACACACAAATCTACTTCCCTCAAGGTTCAAATGTCTTTCCAGCTGGGCCTGCCTCTTGTGCCCATTTGTGTAAAGGAAGGACAGACGCTAGTGGCATCTGGGTATGTCTGCCCTAGGTACTGAAGGCAGTCACATGTCCCCAGGAAGACATGTGCAGACATAGCACTGGCCCCTCAATTCTTCATGAAGGCTTCTGTAAGTGTTATGGTTCAAATCTTAAATGTCTTTCAAAAGCCATGGTTAAAGACCATGCCTTGAGAGCAATTTGGCGATGGCTGAGATTTTAGGGAGTATCTAGTGGAAGCTAATTAGGGGTTAGGCATGGAAGGAGACATTGGACCCTACATTGGGGGGTCTATAACCCGCTGTTACTGGTGCTGGCCCATCCCCCTCTTGCTCTCTATAAGGTGAGCAGTCTGCTCTACTGTGTGCCCCTGAACTTGCTCTTCTGCTCCACCCCAGGCTCAAACACAGGAGAGCCAGCAAATAATGAGTCAAACCTGGGAAATCATGAAGCAAAACAGACATTTAATCTTTTTGTCTGTTTATTATAGCAACAGAAAGCTGTCACGGTAGAGTAGCACAGAAAAATAATAAGGTTCTTTAACCTAGAGTAATATGAGAAGGTAGAACTGGATCAAAGTATAAATATTACAGTTAAACTGGGCACCGGTGGCTCTCACCGGTAATCCTAGTTACTCAGGAGGCTGAGATCTGAGGATCGTGGTTTAAAGCCAGCTCGGGCAGGAAAGGCTATGAGACTCTTATCTCCAATGAACCACTAGAAAATCAGAATTGATGCTGTGGCTCAAGTGGTAGAGTGCTAGCCTTGAGCTGAAGAGCTGAGGGACAGTGCCCAGGCCCAGAGGTCAAGCCCCATGACCGACCAAAAAAAAAAAGTTAAATCAGAATTACCCAAATCCCTGGTAATTAGTTATTTATAAAATGCATTCAAACTTGGGTATGCAGACTTGAGTTAGGGTGCATTACCTCCAACTGAGCAGACAGCTCTCTAAGAAGATGTCCATTCCACACAAATCGTTGATCTGCCTGAGGAAAATTTTAAAACTTAGTAAAATAGCTTGAGTGTCCCCAGAAAGAAAAATCGCCCCCATCAATGCTTCCATATGGGGGCTACAAGCAGGTTTCTTTGACATACCCCAAACAGAACACATTCTGCTCCCTCAAAACCACCATTTCTGTCTCTACCTCATGCCATTCAGAAACCTGGGAGGCCTTCAGGGTCTTTTTCCCTCTTATATTAGGCAATTGCTAAGTACTAAGTCTCCTTCACAGCACATGTTCTGTCCTGCAGACCTACTCTCAGCATCCCTGGTGAACACTCAGCCAGCTCCCTGGCCTCCAGTTCAGGTGGCAACTCCCAAACTGGCCCGTCGGGGCTGCAGGAGTTCTCCCTCTTGTCAGCTCCAAATTCTTCAGTGCCTGTTACCCAGGACCCACATCCTTGCCTGGCCTTACTGGGCCCGGGATCTGGCAGTCCTAGCTAAGTCTCTGACCTCACCTCCTGCCTCTGTGATTCTGTGATGTTCTCCTACAGATACAGAGGAACATCCCTAAACAGCGAAACTCAAGATTCCTCTTGCTTTGCTTCCCGAGTGCTAGGATTATAGATGTGAAACTTCTGTACTGTTACATGAGTGAGATTTCTGAGTACCTACACAAATAATTTTCGCTTGGCTGTATATCTACAGAGATTCTAAGGTCCTCAATTTGAGATTGTGGTAAACATCTGAAACATAATTCTAACATTCAAGAATACAAAAAATCAAAATAGGGCAAGAGGTGTAGCATAGTGGTAGGGTATAGCACTTGGCTAACACATCCAAGGAAGGAAGGAAGAAAAGAAGGAAGGAAGTCAAAATCTGCACAAATTTTCACGAGTGAAAAAGACATGTTCCTTTCCTTAAAAACTAAATCAAAATAACTGAAGATCAAACTTACCCTTTCCAAGAGACTCATCTCTTGGAACTCTGGACTAGTGTTAGACAGCCGCTGCAGAGTATGGGTCAAATCATATGTTGTTGAAAAGTAAAATCCATCCGTACTCAAGACATGATTTAGCATTGCTAGGAAAGTTTTATTATCTTGTAACTGTATATGAAAGAGAAAAAGAAATCAGTCTATTTTATGGCTAAAGGAAATCTGTCAACATGAGAAAAGAACAAAAATTAAATTAAGTCCAGCCCCATAAAATGGCACTGGGGTGCTTCTTATTTCCCCAGGAGCCAGGGGTGTTCCATAAACAGCCTGGGCTTTGTTATATACTGAGAGCAAGATGAGGACTTCCGCTTTCTGACCCCTTCACAACATTTGCTCTAAACAACAGAAAAGCTATTTGAACAAGTGGTTCAAGCAACACCTCAGGTTATGGCCCACTGTGTAGAGAGACACTGTACAGATTCCCTTTCATCTTCACAACCCTGCTTGGTTAGCATATGGGCAAATGAAACAGATATTCACAAGGCCCAGTAACAAGAGAGAAAATATAAAGACATTAACATTACCTTCATTAACATATCTCACCTGAATATCAGTTAAGTGCAACATTGTCTTCTTATAAGAAAGGATATCAAACTCTGTTGCTTTCCATATTACATGATTGAAAAATTCACCTACTTTAGTCTTTTTGGTAATGACAATAAGATAATTACCTGCAAAAAGTATAGAAAACACACATAACTATAAAAATGCAAGGGTGGAGCTAAGAGGGAACTCAGTGGTAGCCTGTGCTTAGCATGTGTAAAACCCTGCCTTCTGGCTCTAGTACCACAAATACATACACATGCCAAAACTAAAGGAAGAGACTCTTACCAAAGTAAGAGGCCTTCTTTTTAAACTTTAATGGCTGGCAGAATGAAACTGTACATTGGTCAGATAAAAAGTGCCTTGTTGTTTTTTTTTTGTTTGTTTGTTTGTATTTTTTTGGCCAGTCCTGGGGCTTGAACTCAGGGCCTGGGCACTGTCCCTGAGCTTCTTTTCCTCAAGGATAGCACTCCACCACTTGAGCCACAGGGCTACCCCTGTCTTTTTCTGTTTTCATGTGGTACTGAGTAATCAAATCAAGGGCTTCATGTATGCTAGGCAAGCACTCTACCACTAAGCCACATTCCCAGACCAAAGCACCACTTTCTAAAGCAATCTTAGGATTTATGAATACAAAGACCAATATATTATTTAGAAAAATTCCTACTGAGGTTATCAGTTTTTTTTTTCTCAAAAAGATAAAAGCAAAACCTTTCTGATAACCAAACCCAGCCATCTCAGAAGGCAGAAAGCAGAGGTACAAAATAACTCAAGAATTCTCCTGCCACCCCTAAGGCACATAGACCTCTGCTCATCATCTGCCAGCATAACGCAATTACAAGTGATGAGCTGACTACTGCAGGGAAATGCCTCCAGTACACCACTCCTGTCCCTTACATCCATCTCCATGTAGACAAATGTGCTGGTATAAGGTAACTACAGGTTATACAACATTACAAGGATGCAAGGTTAGGGATCAAGTCATCACAGTGCAATATGCATCTTGATCCTGGCTATCTTTTCCTCCATCAAATAGCAACAGGAGGCTAAATAAACTCAGAAAATCAGGATGTAAAGCCAGCCTAGGAAGAAAAGTCTCTGGGACTCCACTGTGTCCAAAATAACCAGAAAAGGCTGAGCTGAAGGCACAATTCAGTTGGTGGAGCACCAGCCAAGCAAGCAGAGCTGAGCATATGCAAGGCTCTGAGTTTACCAGCAAAAAATAAATAAAAATAAAAGGGGTTGCAGGCCCGGACCTGTATGCACTGAGTTTAAAAACAAACAACAACAACAAAAAACCCTAGTGGGAGAACAACAAAGGAGGGGGGTAACAGTGCTTGACAAGAAAGATACTCATTACCTTACTCATGTAACTGTACCCTCTGTACAGCACCTTTACAATAAAATAAAATTAAAAAAAACCTAGTATACCTCCAAAAAGAAAATTGTGTAATGTTTACAAACAAGACCAAGCTACCAGCACAACTATGTTTATTGCAGCATTATTTACCATAGCTAAGAAATGGAACCAACCCAGATGCCCCTCAGTAGATGAATGGATCAAGAAAATGTGGTATATATACACAATGGAATTCTATCAGAACGAATTCTCCATCAGAACCCATTTGTTAGGAAATGGAAAGGCTTGGAAAAAATTATATTAAGTGAAGTAAGCCAAGCCCAAAGAAACATAGGTCCAATGGTTTCCCTTATTTGCAATATCTAGTATATGTATGAGTCAAGCAGAAAAGGTCAGATAATGTGAAGTTAGGAAAATGAACCCTTAGATATGTATTTAAATGTTTTTTTTCTTTCATGCATTTGTTTCTAACGCATCTATAAGATTATTTTCTTTGTTGCTTTGTATGTCCCTCCCCCACAGTATAACCCCTGCTTTCACTATATTTGATGTCGGTATAATTTGTGGAGGAGAAGGGGAAAAACAAATCGTTTAAGGATACAGGTGGACCTGTTGCAACAATGAGAAGTACAAGTTGTCATGTCCAAAACGAGCTTTACAACTTTGGGGGGGGAGGATTGGGGGGGAGGGAGGCTGGGAAGGGATGTGAAGGGTAAACAAAGGAGGAGGCTGCAATGCTTGATAAGAAATGTACTCATTATCTTGCCCATGTAATTGTAACCCCTCTGTACAGTATGTTCACAATAAAAATAAATAAAATAAATAATAAAAGAAAATTATTTGTGTATTCATAGTATTTTCAAAAATGTCCAGCTGACTAAGGATTTCAACTCTACTTTGAGTAAAATCAAACACCAAACCTTTCTTTTAAAATAGAACTTCAGGGGGCTGGGAAGGTGGCTCAGTGGTAGAGCGCTTGCCTTGCATGCATAAGGCCCTGGGTTCGATTCCTCAGCACCACATAAGCAAAAAGAAAAAAGCCGGAAGTGGTGCTGTGGCTCAAGTGGTAGAGTGCTAGCCTTGAGCTGAAGAGCTGAAGGACAGCGCCCAGGCCCAGAGTTCAGGCCCATGACCAGACCCAAAAAAAATAAAAATAAAAAATAAAATAAAATAAAATAAAATAGAACTTCAGGCTAGGTGCTGGTTGCTCATGCCTGATATCCTAGCTACTCAGGAGGCTGAAATCTGAGGATCACAGTTCAAAGCCTGTCCAGGCAAGAAAGTCCCTAAGATTCTTATTTCCAATTAAGATGGAAGTGGAGCTATGCTCAAGTGGTAGAGCACCAGCCTTCAGCAAAAAAACACTCAGGGACAACACTTAGGCCCCACATTCAAGCCCCAGGATCAGCACAGAAAGTATTACAACAAAATAAAACTTCAGGACCAGTAGAGTGCTTGGGTAGCAAGTATAGGACTTTTGAGTTCCAAATCCAATACCTCCAAAAATAAAAGACTTTCAAGGGTCTGGGCATGGTGGCAAATACCTATAACCCCAGTTATTCTGGAGGCAGAATTAGGAAGATCATAGTCCTAGGATCATAGGCCCAAGACTCTACCTGCAAAATAAACTAAAACAAAAAGAACTGGGCAGGTATGGCTGAAGTGGTAGAGGACTTGCCTAGAGAGCATGAGGCCCTAGGTCAAATTCCATTACCACCAAAAAATAGAACAAGAAATAAACAAACCAGAACTCCAGGGAGACAAAATGAACCATTTAGAGAATATTATCTTTAAAAACTAATGACAAATACTCAACTTTGAGATTCATTACCTAAACATACTATGAAATATATATATATGTATACACACACACACACACACACACACACACAAAATAGTCTAATCAAGGAGGGTTGGGGGGGTGGGAGATGGGAAGGGAAAGGAAGGGGAAACAAAGGAGGAGGCAACAATGCTTGATAAGAAATGTACTCATTATCTTGTAACCCCTCTATATGGTATTTTCACAATAAAAATAAATAAATAAATAAAAGAAATGCAAATAAAAAAATAGTCTAATCAATTGAATTACCTTGCCATCTTGGCTAAATTTCTCTTACCTGCCACCAGGTGGATTGTGCCCAGTATACCAAATATTGGTCTTGTAATAGTTGAAGTAGGAACATCTTTCTTGACTTAAAAAAAAAAATACACATTACTTCAACTAAATTAATTTGTCTTATTCTAAGTAGGCAATGTTTCTTCATTCATGTTTCTCTGTTTTAGCATAGCATAAAGATATCTGCATGACTTATAAAGGCTGCCAGCTACTCAGGAGGTACAGAACATGAGGTCAGAGAAACATGCCTTAGTTTCCTCATAAAGTGAACTGTGGGTCATTGCTCATTTCAGATTTCAGCCCCTAGAAACTATAAACTTAACCTTTAGAGACTCTTATCTCCAATTAACCACCAAAATGCTAGAAGTGGAGCTATGGCTCAATGGTAGCCTCGAGCAGAAAGAAAGCACAGGGACAGCCCTCAGGCCAGAGTTCAAGTTCCATCAAGGTTGGCACTGAAAGAAGAAAGCGGAAGGAGAAGGGGAAGAGAGGAGGGAGGGAGGAAATTAGAGGAAGTGAAACAATTTGAACGAGAGTTTAATCTTGACAGGTCAATAGAATGCAAAAATAGGAAAAGAAAAAAAAGGGATTGTCTTGCTATCTACACCTAAGAATACAGGGAATGAAAGCAAAGATTCAAGGCGAGAACAAGGAAGAACAGGAGCTTACACCCAGGAAAGCATGACTTTTATCAACAATGACCTTATTAATAAAACAGTATCTTAGACAATTCATTGCACAAGCCCCCAATTTTCAGCCAGTGCATTTCACAGAACATATTTTACTGAATTTCATTCTAAAAAAACAATGCCCCAAGGGGAGGAAAGGAAGTCCCAGTAAAGTAAGTCTATTTTGTTTCAGATCAAATCATCTCTACCCAGGGCTGGGAAGGTGGCTCAGTGGTAGACGGCTTGCCCTGCATGCATAAGGCCCTGGGTTCGATTCCTTAGCACCACAGAAGCAGAAAAAAACAGAAGTGGTGCTGTGGCTCCAGTGGTAGCGTGCTAGCCTTCAGCTGAAGAGCTGAGGGACAGCGGCCAGGCAGACAAAAAAAAAAAAAAAAAAATCACCTCTACCTGTCTCAGACACAGCACACCTTAGGAGAGCAGAGGCTCTGAGAAGACCTACAGTAAAAGAAAGCCGCTCCACTGTTGATTTCAAGGCTTCCCAATGTATATGGCTTAGAAAATTGTTTCTTTCTTTCTTAAAGCATGTTACCGGGCTGGGAAGGTGGCTCAGTGGTAGAGCACTTGCCTTGCATGCCTGAGGCCCTGGGTTCGATTCCTCAGCACCACATAAGCAAAAAGAAAAAAGTCAGAAGTGGCGCTGTGGCTCAAGTGGTAGAGCGCTCGCCTTGAGCTGAAGAGCTGAGGGACAGCACCCAGGCCCAGAGTTCAGGTCCCACGACCGGACCCCCAAAAAAAAATTTTTTTTAATAAAATAATAAAATAAAAAGCGTGTTACCATCCTGAAGCTCATGTTAGGAATACTGCTGTAAACCTAAATAAACCCTGTTCCTCAAAGGTAGTCCTAACAGTAATTCTGTTTTCTATATAACTCATTCTGGAAAGTACCCAACATTCATTCATGTTCTTCATGACCAATTTACTTAGCAATAAAAAATAGGAAGGAGCCAGGTGTGGTGGCACACAACTATAATACCAGCATTCAGGAGGTGGAAACAGAAGAATCTTAACTTCAAAGCCAATCTGGGCAGAATCACTAGCAAATGTGAGGCCCTTGGTTTAATTCCCAGTACCACAAAAGGCCAGTATGAACTACATAGCAAGACTCTGTCTTTAAAAAAAAAAAAAAAAAAGGTGGGGTGGACTGCTGTGAGCTGGTGGCTCCCGCCTGTAATCCTAGCTACTCAGGAGGCTGAGATCTGAGGATCATGGTTCAAAACCAGCCCGGGCAGGAAAGTCCATAAGACTCTTTATCTCTAATAAACTACTCAGAAACAGCCAGAAATGGCCCTGTGGCTCAAGTGGTAGAGCGTCTTGAGCAAAAGAAGTGCAGGGACAGAGCCTAGGCCCAGAAGTCAAGCCCCAGAACTGGCTTAATAAAAAAAAGGGACTGCCTGAGTAGTGAACAGCTGAGAGAAAGTTCTGAACACACTGAGATTATTTGGTAAGCTCCAAGGTACCAATGATAGTTATATGTTTTAATAAGTGTAACAACAACATTGTGATAGTTGCTAGAATATGCATTAGTTTTGTGTAAAAGAAAAAAAAATTCTCCTTTCTGCATTCCTAATAGTAAGACCACACTGTTTGAAAAACTGTCAATCACCCTTTATTATCATTAACTTTGGAGAAATTATTTCACCATGTTATATCCAAACGACTTTTGACCTTTTAGCACATCTGCATCTACTTAAATAAGCCTGTAATCTCTAACTACAAATAATATGCCAGTGAAGGTCAAAAAGAGCTGAAAGTAGCTGGGTGACAGGTGGCTCACGCCTGTCATCCTAGCTACTCAGGAGGCTGAGATCTGAGGATCGCAGATCAGTTCAAAGCCAACCTGAGGAAGGAAAGTCCATGAGATCTTATCTCCAGTTAACCACCAGAAAACCACAAGTGGTGCTGTGGCTTACAGCGCTAGCCTTGAACAAAAGCAGCTCAGGGACAGTGCCCAGGCCCTGATTTCAAGCCCCACGATCGACCCACAAAAAGACAGCAAGAGTTAAAATTTTATTAAGAAAGCACACAAGGGATCCACACACTGGTTTAATTGACATATGCAATCTTCCTCTGCCAACTCACAGTGTAGAGACACAATACCTGCCAGGGTGACTTCTGTGGACACTCGGTCAATGGTGAGGACATCATCAGCCCCATCATCACAAGCTTCCACATAAAATTTTTCAGGTGTAATATGCCTGAGAAGAAATTGAAAGACAAAAAGATAAGCCAAAGGAAGACATAGAACAATGACATCAGGATTGGTATGTGGCATCCTTTACCCTCTGCCTGCTTCTACATACATGAGACTAAGTGTGACCTTCTTATGAACTTATTGCAGTTCTGCTATATGGAGCAGGGGAGGTGAGGCACTGGGACTTAAAACTCAGGACCTTATGCCCTTGCTTAGCATTTTAGCTCAAGCGACTGAACCAGAAGAAAAACCAGAAGTGGCCTCTGGGGCTTAAAGTAGTAGAGCCCTAGCCTTGAGCAAAGAGCTCAGGGACAGTGCCCAGGCCCTGGGCTCAAGCCCCACAACCAACAACAACAACGTGCTCCCATGAGCCCTGAAAAGCAGAAGACAACAGCAGTCAGACAGATGTGGCAGAAAAGGAAGGAGAGCTCAGCCCTGAGAACGGTTTGCCGTGTTTTGACAAGCTAGTCATGGTTCCGGATATAGGAACGTATTGTGAGGATAGGAGAGGCTTCTAGAAACTAAGGGTGGCCTAAGCTGCAAGCCAGCTGGGAAACAGAAATTTTGTGAGCCGTGTCCCCCCCTCCCCAACCCCACCCTCATTTCCCCATCCACCCATAAGGAACTAGATTGACCCACTAGGAACTAGATTGACTAGCAACTTGACTGAGCTTGGCTTCTGCCCCCAGCCTCCAAATGCCCTGTTTAAACATTATTACTGGGATTAATGAATAACACACTAGCCATGGAACAGTGCTATGTACAATGTAGCCCTGGCTTGATTTTTGCCCAGGGAACTCATGTAGGATTTCTGACCTACACAGACTATGAGATAATATGTTTGCATTGTTTTGAGCCTCTAAAGTTTGTGGTCATTTGGAACAGCATTAATAGAAAACTCTATACAGTCACCAAATCCCCCTCAGAATGGAATAACATCCACCTTAACCCCAGGCCAGAACACACCCACAAATAGAAAGAGTCCTTTCGGGATGCAAAGGGAGATAGATCCTTCTCTCAGCTAAAGTTTGAAGAAAAACCACAATGTCAAGTGAGTTTTTAGATACTTAAGTATTTAGGCTTCTACAGGACAAAGTTAAAATCTTTTTCAGTTTGTTTGTGTTTTCGTGGGGTGTATGATTTAGTATTTAAAGAATTCCCTGCCTTACACCTATTTTCCTGCTGACTTTTGGGGGGCGGGGGGTGGGGGGCAAGGCGAAAGGCTTTATGTATCCAATAAATGCATTTATATTCTTTTTCCCCCCCATACTGCGACTTGAACTTAGGGCCTAAGGCTCTTGCTTGACTTTCTTGTTCAAGGCTGGTGCTCTACCACCTGAGCCACAACTCCACTTCCTCTGTTCTTTGTGATATCAAAGTTATTATCCTCTGACATCATCCATGCTTACACAAAATATCTAAAAGGCAAACCAGAATCACATCATAGGCTATTCAGAACAGCAAATGGATACCTGTCATGACTGTGAGCCAAGAGGGAGAGAATCTGATAAGACGAAATAGGTATTCTGAGTAACACAGTGTAAGGGAAAGAGCCCTGGAATGTGGGCCAGCAGTGTTCCAGGGTCAGCTCAGTCCTGGCTTAGCTCCATGACCTGACTCGGTGACCCAAAGCAGTTCTGTGAGTGTCTTCAATAAGGGCCAACAACACAGACCAACACAGTCCATGACCTCACAGACCATCGGGAAGATGGCCTCCAAACTGCACTCCTGAGAAGTCTTAAAGTGGCTTTCCTAGAGAATTCACTAAGGAGCTGCTCTGAAGAAACCTTTAGTATAAATCTTGACAGAAATTAGAGAAAAAAATAAACATTAAGACGCTTCTATCATGTGCTAGATATGTACGGTTGGAGACACAAATTACATGTAACTATTAGATCATTTTACAGGCAAGAGGAGTGATAAAGCCAGACACCGGTGGCTCGCACCTGTAATCCTAGCTACTCAGGAGGCTGAGAGCTGAGGATTGCTGTTCAAAGCCAGCCTGGGCAGAAAAGTCCCTGTGAGACTCTATCTCCAATTAACCACTCAAACAACAGAAGTGGCACTGTGGCTATGGCTCAAGTAGTAGAGTGCTAGACTTGAGCACAGAGAGGCCGAGGGACAGCACCCAGGCCCTGAGTTCAAGCCCCACCACTGATTACAACAACGAAAAAAGGGAGTGATTCAAACAGCATGAAGATCTCTCCAGCTTTCAGTCCATGAGTCAGCAAATGCGAAAAAAAAGAAAGAAAGCCACACACCAGTGGCTCATACCTATATATTTTAGCTACTCAGGAGGCTGAGATCTGAGGAGCTCAGTTTGATATCTGCCCAAGGAAGTATGGCCAATAAAGTGGAGCTATGGCTCAAGGGGTAGTGAGCTAACCTTGAACAAAAAAAGCTAAGGGACAGGCCCTAGGGTCCAGCACCAAGAAAACAAAAACCAAAGAAGATTCAGAGAGGCAATGGACCACCTCCACAACAGTAGTAAGTTTAAGATTTTAACCCAAGTCTTTAGCAACCTGAGATCTCTCAGCCCTCCCAAGGATGTGGAAAGGAGAGACCAAGAAAGCATTCTGGGCGGAGGAATCAAAATAAACCTACTGAAGCTCAAAGAGTGTGGCAGAAATGGGAAGGGGAGGGGAGGGGGAAAGCACTGGTGGCTCACACCTGTCATCCTAGCTACTCAGGAGGCTAAGATCTGAGGATCACAGCTCAAAGCCAGCCCTGGCAGGAAAGTCTCTAAGACTTTTATTTATTTTATTGCCAGTCCTAGGGCTTGAACCCAGGGCCTGGACACTGTCCTTGGGCCTCTGTACTCAAGGCTAGCACTCTACCACTTGAGCCACAGCCACTTTTGGCTTTTTCTGGGTATGTGGTACTGAGGAATCAAACCCAGGGCTTCATGCATGCTAGGCAAGCACTCTACCACTAAGATAAATATTCAGCCCCCCCCCCCCATGAGACTCTTATCTCCAATTAATGACCAGAAAACCAAAAGTGGAGCTGTGGCTCAACATGGTAAAGCACTAGGGCTGGGGGGAGCCAGGCGCTGGTGGCTCATGCCTGTAATCCTAGCTACTAAGGAGGCTGAGATCTGAGGATCGTGGTTCAAAGCCAGCACAGGCAAGAAAGGCTGTGAGATTCTTATCTCCAATAAACCACCATAAAACCACAAGTGGAGCTGTGGCTCAAGAGGTAGAGCGCTAGCCTTGAGCTGAAGAGGTGAGGGACAGCGCCCAGAGTTCAAGAGGCTCAGGGACAGCAACCAGACCATGAGTTCAAGACCCAGAAGTGGGTGGGGAGGGCGGGCCTTCATTCATTTGCACCTAAGGACAAATATCCTTTATCTTTTATGAATATAGGAGGTGTCAGTTTTGAGGTCTGAACTGGCAAGATTTTAGTGCCTTGAAAACAATCCTCACAATTCAAAGTCCTTCATTTTATTCAATGTTTGTTTTGGGACAATTCAACTGCATCCTGTAACCTAATGCTGAGTGAAATCAACCCAAGGTTCCACGTTACTTAAATACATTTGAGACTTGGTATGGGATCAGATTAAACCCTGTCATGGCTATCAGATAGACAATAACCTAATTCACCAGCAGGAAAGTTATGTCAAACACTGGTCCAGCCAGTAGCCTACTCAAAGACATTTTGCTGCACCTCTCTCAACCACAAGACGATTGATCACCTTGCAAAAGAAAGCTGAGAGAGAATAAGAAAATGTAGGAGAAGAAAATGTGGGCAGAGTGGGCAGGTGAGGCTTTCGAGGGCTAGTAGGATATAATACAGAAGTGGTAAAAGGGATGATCTGTACTGAAAATAACCATCTTTTCTCCAAAATATATGACAAAAGTGAGTAGGGGCAGACTCCTCTCTGTAAACCTAGCTATTCAAGAAGTTGAGAAGCTCGGTGCCGGTGGATCACACCTGTAATCCTAGCTACTCTGCAGGCTGAGGTCTGAGGATCAAAGCCAGCTCCGGCAGGAAAGTCCTTGAGATTCTTATCTCCACTTAACCACCAGAAAACTGGAAGTGACACTATGGCTCAAGTGGTAGAGCACTTGCCTTGAGCTGAAGAGCTGGTGGACAGTGTCCAGGCCCAGAGTTCAAGCCTCAGGACCGACAAAAAAAAAAAAAAGAATTTGAGAGCCAGGTGTAGCTAGCTCTGGCCTGTACTCCTGGTAATACTCCTGGTATGCCTGTACTCAGGATCAGGGAGCTTGAGATCTGATGATCATGGTTCAAAGCCAGCCTGAGGGCTGGGAATGTGGCTTAGTGGTAGAGTGCTTGCCTAGCATGCATGAAGTCCTGGGATTAATTCCTGAGCACCACATAAACAGAAAGAGCCAGAAGCAGTGCTGTTCAAGTGGTAGAGTTCTAACCTTGAGCAAAAAGAAGCTCAGGGAAGTGCCTGGACCCTGAGTTCAAGCCCCAGGACTGGGGGGAAGGGGGGGAGCCAGCCCGATCAGAAAAGTCTGTGAGACTCTTATCTCCAACTAACCAACCAACAAAAACCTAGAGGTGAGCTGGACACTGACCACATCTGTAACCTGGGCTACTCAAGATGCTGAGATCTGAGGGTCACAGTTTGAAGCCAGCCCAACCCCTGAGGTTCTTAACTCAAATTAGCTACCACAAAACCAAAGCGGAGCTGTGGCTCAAGTGGTAGAGAACCTTGACCAAAAAAAAAAAAAAGCTCAGGGACAGTACCTAGGCCCTGAGAATTCAATGCCCAGGACTGGCAGTGGAGTTGTAGCTTGAGTGGTAGAGTGCTAGCCTTGAGTGGAAAAAACTCACAGCTCTGAAACTCAGTTCAAGCCCTGTACAAAACTGTAGTAGATGTCCTCCATCCTAATTTTGCGCCCTCAACTTTACTATGAACCTTCAAGAAGCTTATTAGTAAGCCTGACTTTCCGGGACACAAAAGTGCCCAAACCACATTTTTATGTTTGCCCTGCAAAGGCAATGTGATACTTACACTTAAATAGCAGGTGCTTTGTCAACTTATGCAAAGAGGTAGATAAGCTCCCTCAAAAAAATACAACAGGGCCCTGGGTAGCTCACACCATGAAATTTAGGCTACTCGGGAGGCTGAGATCTGAGGACCATGGTTAGAAGCCAGCTAGCGCAGGAAAAGTCTGAGAGTCTTCCCTCCACTAAACTACCAAAAAAGTCGGTAGTGGTGCCGTGGCTCAAGTGGTAAGTAGAGTGTTAGTCTTCAGCAAAAGCAGTTCGGGTATAGTGCCCAGGGACCTGAGTTCAAGCCCCAGGACCAGCAGAAAGGAAGGGAGGAAGGAAGGGAGGGAGGGAGGGAGGGAAAAGAAAAGAAAAGAAGATTAACATTGGCTTCTGCTGCTGAAGACATTCCCAAGCCAGAAACCAGCGGGTGGCTCAGGCCTGTCATCCTAGTCCTGGTTAAATATCCTAGTTTGAGCTGAGGTCTGAGGATTCTGGTTAGAAGCCATCCCAGGCAGGCAACTCTGTGAGACTCATCTCCCATAAACCACCAACGTGCTAGCCTGGGGGGGGGAGGGGGGGGGAAGGGAGAAAACAACAGCTTCCAAGACCAACTTCCAAGACCCTGGTCCCGAGTTCAAGTTCCAAGACCAACACACATGACCCAGGCCGTGAGTTCAAGACCCAGGACCAGGACCAACACACACACAGAGTGACTAGCTCTCTCTCTCTCTCACTCACACACACACACACACACACACACACGCACACACTATCATTTTCCCCCATAACTATCATTTTCCCAGAAGCTTTATGATTTTTTCCCCCTGCAACCTAAAGACGTCCACACCCAGAAAGACTTGTCACCCCAAAGGGGGGTGTTGAGGGGGGAGAAGGGGGAGGGTAAGGGGGAAGTCAGTCGTGGGGTCTTGAACTCTGTCCCTCAGCTCTTCAGCTCAAGGCGGGCGCTCTACCCCTTGAGCCACAGCGCCACTTCCGGCTTTTTTCTTAGGTGCTGCTGAGGAATCGAACCCGGGGCCTCGGGCAGGCGAGGCGAGCGCTCTACCACGGAGCCACCTTCCCAGCCCCCCCACTCATACAAGAAAACCTCAAAAGCAAAACCCACCTCCTTCCGCTCTAAATCGGATACATGTCATCTCCCCATCTCAAAAATAACCACCACAATAATAATGATAGTCAGACAACGTGGGAGGGGCGGCCACGTAACC